ATATATATATATATATATATATATATATATATATATATATATATATATAGTCACGGGATGTAGAGTATAGTGTGGGAGTTGAGTCAAGGAAACTGTAATAGATATGTATCATATGGGGGGGAAGTGGGGCGGCGGATTGGAGGCGGGGGGTTGTCACCTCGAGGGGTAAAAAGTATAACTACTGCACTGTGTTGTACAGCTGAAACTAATTTTAAAAAATGTGTATTTCACAATAAAAAATAATTTAAAAACAAACAAACAAACAAACAAACAAACAAACAAACAAACAAATAAATAAAATAGAAAAAGCCCCATGGAAATGAAACCTGTAAAAAAAAAATATTTCTTTCGGATGATTCTATCTCATGTTTTCAAGTTTTTACAGTATTTTGTCAACTGTGAATTTTGATGTCTAGTTGCCTAGGTTTATACTGGGGTACTTATATTTTCTATTTGATTTGAGGTCCTCATTATATTCACTGAAAGTATTGTTTTCTCTAGCACTGGCCCTTGAAATCTATTCATGACATTTTAAACCTACATAAGTTTATACTGTAAAATCAATCTCATCCTTGGTATTTCTTTTCTATTGCTCCTCCTAAGTACTTCGACATGCATAACATTAAGATTTGTTTCATTTCACTTCCTTCTTTTTCTGAGTTAGATCTAATTTTATTTTTCCAAATAGTTAACCAAATGACCCAGTTTTATTTAGTACATAATCTACTTTGATCTCTAGAGATTTAAAAAGCTGCTTTTCAAATAGAATAAACTCATCTATTCACTTTTTTATTTCTTTTTTTATGTAACATTTACAAATAATGAAATGCACAATCTTAAACATTCAATAGTTGATTTCTGACACATGTATATATCTCTCTAACCCATTCTACTGCTTTTTTACTTAAATTTAGTGTTTCTCCCAATGTGAGTTAAATATTTCTCATTTTTAAGAATGTTTTAGTTTTACTTTTTAAACTTTTACTCTGTGTACAATGTGAGTTTTCTAAACTTGATTTTTTCCTTTTCTTAATAGTTATGAATAAAATATAATCTATCTTAGTATTGGTCTCTGATGTTTTTATTACATATATTGTTCTATCAAGCAGGATCTATTTTAGCATTGTTCTTTGTATCTACTTTTGTGAGCCAGAACCATACTATTAGAAAATTATAGTTTCCCCACCCCCATAACTTTGCTTTCCCCAGGTTTTTCATCACCTGATTGATATTTTTTACAAGGAAAGAAAGTGGTAGTACCTGAACTACCTAGCAATTCTAGAAATTGTGAAAACAGTATTTAATCCAATAAATATAAAGAAAATTACTAAAAATTGGCTCTAGATAAAAAGAGAGCTATTTTCAACCAACTTTGAAGTAATATTTCTTCAATGTCACCACTTTATATTACTAACCATTTCCCTATTTTTTCTTCTTTCTAACAAATAATTTCACCAGTCTAATTACCTTAATTTTAAGGACTCCATCGTGTGATTCACAGTGTTGCTTCAGAAAAAGCTTTAGTTTATCACGAGAAAACAGCTGTTTTCTCCGGCTAACAGGGAAAAAGGGGGTGAAAGGAAAGTATTAGTATCAAAGAATTCAATCCAAAGTCCATAACCTCTATAAATCCATAACCTCAATTTCAAGCCCAGAAAAGAACATTTCACTTTCTAATAGTATTTATGTAGAAGTAACAAGAAACTTTATACAGGAGTATTTATGTAGACTGTTGTAAAATCTACTTGATTGGGTCTATTATAAAAGTCCATTAAAAATAGTATATGCATTTATTGCTTAGGAACTGCTTAGAAATCAAATAAACCTCATGGAAAATATATTACAGAGAGTGAACCAAATCTTATAAAATTAGGTGATCATTCCTACAAGTATCACCATTAAAATTCTTTAAAAAGTTAAAGCCAATAGGCTACCAGATGTCACATAACGCTGAGTAAATCAACATTGAAATGGATCTTGTGAACAGAGTTGAACATGGGTTTTATCAAATCCTAAAATATTTTGTATTTAAACTTCATATGGCAGCCAACAAATTCATGGGATTCTAATTAAAGAGAATTAGAATTCTTAAGATTCTAAGAATATACCTTTGTTGATTCTTCCTTGCCCCCAAATTCAAAAGGAGCAAACACAACTGTAACCACTACCACAAACAAAACAAAAACAATAAACAACACACAGTATTTCTACAAAGGTTGTGGAAAGAAAGTACATGTTTTAATTCACTGTATTCCTTTCAGGAAAAAGTGAAGTTAAAAGCATATATGAGTGAATAAACAATGTAGGAGTTTTTAAGTAGTGACCCTCCCAAATATGTATTCTTTTTCTATAGTATAGAAAGGACTACCTGAGAGAAAGAGTTCTAGTTTACTGCTATGTCCCAGCACCATATAGGAGCTGACAAGAAGGTAATTATCTGTTTACTGTTGAGTAAATATACTAGTCCTTGAGAACTGTATAGTCTCATATGGCACCTACTAGCCACTTGTGGTTTTTTAATAAAATTAGAACTTCAGTTCCTCACTATTGCTAGCCACATTTCAAGTGATCAGTAGCCACAATAGCCACTGGACAGCACACATATAACGTTTCCATCATTGCAGAAAGTTCTACTTGTCAGTGCTATTCTAGCATATCAAGTCTTCCTTAAAGGAACAGTACTACTTTTTGATACTAACAAGAGATGCAAGTCATTTAAGCCTTCTATTATCAAGTATAGCTTTCTTACCTCATAATTCTTTGGCTTACCAATTAGGAAAGAAATGACTTAATTAGACTGTAACCAACATCTAGCAAAATTATATTTAAAGTATAAGTCAAACAATAAATGCAAAAATGAAAAATATTAAATAGAATTATATTACATAAAAAACTAAACTAAAGGCAAACTTAAAGGCAAAAAACGCCAAAACTCAACTATAAATAAGGAAAACATTGGTAGTTTTAACTATGTTATTCATCAGCCCATAAACTGAACAAATTTAAAAGTATGAATAATCCATGAGCATTATCTTGGGAATTTTTTTTTCGATATACAGTAAAATGCAGAATGCTTCAGAGATCCTAAATTAATGATGGGCCTAAAAAAACCAACTAAAGGGCCGGCCGAGTGGTGCGTTGTTTAAGAGCTGGCTTGGGATGCCAGAGGGCCCCAGTTAGGATCCCACATATGAGGGCCAGTGACACTGCCCTCTACTGCTAAGATGCTGAACAACAGCTCAACCTGGAGCTGGGCTGCTGTGAGTCGCTGGTCACAGCGTAGGCTGCAGCCACTGCTGCAGTGGGTTGCCATGGGCTACCATGTGTAGCCAGCAGCCAGCGTGAGCGGCCAGCAGCCGCCGTGAGTGGCCGTCCAGAGGCCGGCGACTGATCTGCCTCACCCGGGAAGAGTGCAATGATGGTGCCAGCTTGGGCCAGAGAAGCAACATCCTCCACAACTAGACTGAAGAACAAAAACAACAGCAACTTGTCTGTTCCCCTTTCCCCCAATTCCCCAGCGCTGTTCCCATCCCCCAATTACCCAATAAAAATCTTAAAAACAAAAACAAAAACAAAAAAACAACTAAAGACAAAACTACATACACCAAGTAATATATCCAACTCAGGAGTCACTCAACATTTATATTATTATCACTTTTCTTTGGCACATGAGTATATATGGGGCAACAGGAAAGAGAGAATAAGTATAAATATTTTACATCAAATGAAATGCAAGACTGACTCCTATGTGGCTAGTTGATAGTTGGCTGATAATGTCAACTTATTTTCAGATGACTAAGAGCCTAACTTCAAAGGGCAACAATAGGGATTTTCCTAAAATATATCTATGTATCCTAGAGCCATTTCTTTTAAATATTAGCCACTCACTACCTCTCTCTTTTGATTAGGCTTCAAAGGGAAATTTTAAAAAATATTCATTTTTATTATTTAACTTTCTTAAGGAATGAGAAGAGACTGATCAGATGTTTGTGATAATGAATAAAATATTACAAATGTGACATATTTGTAAGTACCATCAGATTTCTCAGCTTTGAAAATTGAGTTCTCTCATAAATAGGATCCTTTTTAATTTCTTAGATGTGAAGACTATTGGGGTTAGTTACTGATCTAAACAAAGGGTTCATGGAATCCAGTAGGATTCACTTTATCAGTCTATGAGCATATAAATGTATTTATAATATTTTAAAAAGGGAAGCAATCACTTGTAACACTACCCATTTGTTCTACATCAAATCTTAATTCAACGTAATTATACTTTAAACCAGCATAGAGAAGATACTGAATTTTACCTGATTTGTGTTGCTTTAACAATAGCACACTCATACAATTCTTTCTTAGTGGGCTGCACCTTGTACTTGAATAATAAGGGATCAACTGCATCTCTTTTCTTCCTAAAAAAAGAGCAAAGATACAAATCACTGAATACATTTTTTTTGAAATGTGAGATATTAAATGGACATCTATTTCTAAGAACATAAAATCACAGAATCGAATGCATTTTTATTTTAACTAGGACTTTGTAAGTTACTGATATTCCTCACCATTCTATAAGCCAAAATACCGGGGGTGCCAAGAAAACGTATACAAGTGGACACTTCGGTCAACGTTGCTCAAGCAGTAGTTCGCCATAATCAGAAGTGTCTGACGCTGATGGTAACCACTTTGAGCACCTCTTGTAATTGCAGAAGTCAAATGTGACTTGGATTCATCTTTTGTTATTGGTATATATTGAGTATTACAATTTTAACAGTTTTTTCCTTTCCTAAAATGTGTATCCATTTTTTTGGCACCCTCTGTAGTACAAAGCACCATTTTATGTTAGATAGGTATTTTAATTACTCATTTGATAAATTTTCCCTGAGTGAAGAAATTAACAAGAGATGAATAGGCACAGAGCACCCAGTTTAGGTTAGATAAATTTATAAACAAATAAATAGCTCTTGAATTTGCTTTTAAACTTTCTTCTTCATAGCTATGTAATCCAAGAGCAAAAGTGGAGATAATGTAGTTTACCCTATTTTAAGAATTGGCAAAGAGGGTACACATTTAATCCCTGCCTCCAACCAACTTCTCATCTTTTCTTAACTTTGAGGCATTCATTCATCCACTCTGTTATAAAGTTCAACATGCTACAAAATGGAAGTACCACATAAAAGAACAGATATTGTATAATTCCACTTATATGAAGCATCTAGAATAGGTAAATTCAGAGACAGAAAGCAGATTTAAGGTTACTAGGGGATGAGGAGGAAGGAGGAAATGGGGAATTATTACTTAATGGATACAGAGTTTCTGTTTGGGGTGATGAAAAAGTTTTGAAAATAGTGGTGATAGTTGTACAACACTGTGAATGTAATTAACGCCACTAAATGGTACATTTAAAATGGTTAAAATGGCAAATATTGTTATGTGTTTTAAGACACAGATACACAGACAAATACTATCCCACAAAATGCTGGTGATCATTTTGAGCACCGAGGCTTGATTCTAAATATGTGGCCTTAGTATATCTTGCAGATACTATGAAGTATGTGATGCTGGGCAAATTTTCTACCTCTGAACTTCTATTTCTCCTCGATACAAGAATATGACTATGGCCATCTACCTTTATAGAGTGGTTCTGAGGAGCAAATAAGACAACATATGTGGGTGCTGTTTGTTATACAGTTTAACTCATGGAAAATGCCCAGTAAAGAACTGTTCCATTCCCTTCCTTTCAACCCATCTACGGAAACATGAGAAAACCCAGATTATGTTTTGTTGGCAGGGAACAACCTAGAAATAAATTTCTTACTCAAGTTAGGGAATTAATAGAAATAACTCAACAAAGTAAAAGTCCAAAGATGACTTTCACCCTTCCTGGTATTTCAAGGTACAGCAGTAGCAATCTATAAACAAGTAGGCATTTTATGATGTTGATGTACAGTGAAGGCTCAGATTCTTCGAGAATCACAGATTAAAAGTATTTATAAATAAAGTAATTGGCCAGCTTACTCACTTTTCCTACATCAAGTGTCTATTCCAAGTACCTACAATTCAAGGGATAGGGCACAGCCTACATAGGCTGGAAATTATGAATGATTATGCCTATGGCCAAATTCAGTTGAACTTTGTGATGAGCTTGTTACAAGTGGGATTTACCAATGGAAAATTTCCTCTAAATGCTACATAACAGGCAAAATATTTACTATTATTCATTGGGATTCTGAACTAATTTGTTTTGTACTCAAGGTAACAAATTAGCCACAAAATATGCAGGTAGATCATATTTATATCTAAAAGGAAGGGAAAGGACATTAATGCGCTGAATAACAGAGTGTCGGACCTAAGAATCTAGACATTCCTCATCTCAAAGCACCTCAGAGAACCTAAAAGAATTAGAAGAGTGAATTAAAAGTTACTACAAAGTAACCTGAAATGATAAATCATTTTTAAATGAAAAAAATTTAGATAAACAAATACTTACTATATTTAAATATCAATTTAAAAAATATTTTTTATATACAAATCTGATGTCACCCTTCAAGACTCATCTAATATATAACTAACTCCATTCAAAGGTTATGATCTTTGCTATAGTACATAAAAACACACAAACTACTACTGTTAGAGGTGCTAAAGGACACATATTCACTACCATAATACCCAAACTCTTCATTCAGTGAGAGACCCAGACAAGTGACCTTAATTTCTTTTTCTGCATAATAGTAGCAACTCAAAAAAACAAAACAAGATGTATCAAAGGACTTATACAGGTCCATGTCATGCTTCATTCACTCTCCCAAAAATCATTTTTCTGTCAGACAGTGTACTATAGTTAGATGGCCTCATGCAAAGCCAATCCTAAGGCTCAGGTTCTAGTTAAATAAAAATAACAATACTCTTGCAGAACCAACAAATATGTGTATCAAACACAGTGCAGTGCCTAGACACAGTAAATGCTCAAATGCTAGTTACAGATACAGTAGTTCAAATCAGACAAAACGAGAACTTGAATTACAGGGTTCTGAGAGACAGAACTTGATAGTTACTAGTATTTCAGGAGCAAAGGAGTTAAAGGAAGTAGTTAAGAGGGGCCTCAGGTTTCTTATTTGAATATTATGGGACTGTTCACTGAAAATAGGGAAGAAAAAGAAAGACACAAGACCGGCTAGAGAAAGCACTCTTAAGTCTGAGATGCTTAAAGGCAGAGAGGGAACTGAATGGAGCAGTAAAAATTTAGACAGTTCAAGTGGAGGATACAGAAGGGAGCTGAGCTAAAACACGTAATGGACTTTCAATCAGTTGAGGACTCAGCTGAGATTTTAAATTTACTTGCAGATAGTGCCAATCTATGAGTGTTTGTGTGATTTTTCTCCAAGAGCACTCAGCTGACTCAACTGACTGAATTCCAGGAGGTTAAAGAGTTTCTTTACTATATGCACCATAAAATGAATAAGGATAATTAAAGTACAGAATGAATTTTCCCAAGTAAACAAAAGTGGAATGTGTAAGTGTAATTGAATGAAGTGAGCCTCAATTGTTCTTAAGCTGCTGATAAGAGTTAGTTGGGTAAGTTTCAATTCTGCAAACTCTAATGTGTTGTTGAACCACACTGTTTAGATGAACAGTATTTCAAAGTATGACTAGAAAGGAAGAAGGAGGGATTAAAGAAAAAATTGTTTCAATGGGATATCATTAGGCAATCTGATATACATTTTAAAAATTAATAAAAATCACTTACCCATTTTGAAAAGAACTATTCTGTGTTTCTGAATCATCACTATCACTGATAATAATAGTTTCTCCATCTATACTGCTGACATGTCCATTAGCAAAACCATTTTGATGTGATGGAGGGAGGACTTCCAAAATCCTACACTGCAACCTGAAAGAAAATGATATATTTAAAAATGCAAATCATTTGATATTTTACAATCAAACATTTCAGAACAACCTATTTTGAACAACTGAAAAGTTATTTTCTTTTATAGAAACTATGGTTGATTAATGTAACCAATTTACTAAAAAAGAAAATCTGTAACATCCAATTTATGCAAAGGTTAGCTACAATTTAAAATAATACAAAACCATTTTAAAGGTCAATTTATCAAGATTCTTGGCATTTATATTCTTAACTGAAGATACTATTTGGAAAATCAAATTCTGGCATAATATCTCATTATACAGATCGGGTTTTACAGTTTTTCAAAGTCTTCAATATTTTAAATTCTGAGTTTCTCTTAATCATAACCACTTTTATTCTCACTGTAATTTCTGATCACTGGAAAGCTTCCTATTTACTAACTCTATCACCCCTATTTTGGCTTCTCTTACTCTGTTCACTCTATCAGAATTTTATGGGATACAATTTCAGACTCATTCACCACAACTGAAATATTCCTCAATCCTATTTTTCTGTGCCAATTTTCAAGTGAAATAATTAAAAGGTGGTATATATCCATACAATAAGGTATCATTCAGCCAAAAAAAAAAAGAAAAGAAATGAAGTACCAATACATGCTACAGTATGGCTAAACCTTGCAAACATGCTAAGTGAAAGAAACCAGGTGTGAAAGGCTATAACAGTATATGATTCCATTTATATGAAAAAAACAGAATAAGCAAATCCATAGAGATAGAAAATAAATGAGTAGTTGTCAGGAACTTGGGGGAGAGGGTGAGAGAGGAGAGCAACTGCAGTGCCTACTAATGGGCACTGGCTTTCTTTTTGGAGTGTAGAAAATGTTCTAAAATTAGTTTGTAATGATGTGCAACTCTATGAAATGCTAAAAACCACTGAACTATACATTTTAAATGGATGAATTTGATGGTATGTGAAATATATCTCAAGATGTTAAAGATAGTACAAATAAAACCAGGGTAGGGAGGAAAAAAAGAGGGAGAGAGGAAGGAAGGGAGGGAGGACAGGCATTGCTGGAATTATATATGTGGTACCGCTACAACTCTTAGGCAATCTGGGGGGGGAGGGAGGTTTTATTAACTAAGAATATTTTAAGCACATATATACCTATCAGTGGGTAAATCCCTATTCTCTAGAGAAAAAGTGGTTCAAGATTAGACAATTAGCTCACTGCATCATTCACTTGGTCATCCCATGTCATACACGAGTTTTAATATATTGTGGGCATTCATAAGACTGCTTGTCTATTCACCAGCCCCACTCTCCTAAGAACTTCATTCTTCCCACACCCCACCTTCTTCCATATGGCTGCTAATACAGCTGCCATATTACCACAAGACTCTGGTCAGAGTTAGTTGATACTGTGGGTAGGCACCTTTTTGCTGAGCGAATACATCTTTTTCAAGATTTAAAAATCTGGAATCTAGAAAGTAAAAATCAGTTCCTCTTCTTCTATCATGGAATCTCTAAGATATAAAATTCTGGTACTGTTGGCACCCATGTTTCCTGTCACATAGAGCGGGGCAGTGTGCAATGAGAGAAGATAAAGCCTAAAAGAGAGAAGAGAGAAGAGAAGGCAGGGGTACTAGAGGCAATCAATTCTCTTATTCCTGTACTTTCTCAGACTTAGCTGCACCTTGCCCATGTCAGGTTTAACTGTTTAATCTTTCTTTTGATTCAATAAACTGATAATCTGCCCCTTTGCATATGTTTTTTTTCAAAATGAATTTTTGTCACAGCCAAAATAAACAGAATTATACAATTCCAGGAAGAAAAACGGTATATTTAGAGCTGGTTCATTTGTGGAAGCAGGTGGATTTTTAAAAGATAAGAGCGCTTTTCATTAGTGTACCTTTTGGCATATGCTTATATTCTCCCTTAGGAAAACATCTTTAGTACTCCCTACAATATCTAATATTGCTGTCAGGCATAGAGAAAATCAGGACCATTGATTTCCTGTTAGAAACTTTGCACTGGACTCAAATAGAAGGAAGCAACTGGTTCTACAGTACCCCAATGTTTAAGAATCAACAAAATGTAGACTATGTGGGTGAATTCAAAGCATTCAGAACATCTTATCTTCCACCTTCACTCATTTCCTCTCATGCTGAGACTTATACAGGTTAAATTAAAAGTATTGCATATGGTTCCTTTACAATTTTGTCTTAAAAAATTTGAGAAAAAAGAGAGGAGACTCAAATTACTAAAACTAGAAGTCCAAGTAGGGACATTACTAGTGATTTTACAGAAATAAAAAAGATATAAGAAAATACTATGGACAACTGCATGATGGCAAACTGGATAACCTAGAGGAAAAGGAAAAATTCTTTGAAACACACAAACTACCAAAACTGACTTAAGAAGAAATAGAAAAGCTAGAGAGATCTATAACTAGCAAGACTATGGAATCACAAACCTCCCAACAAAGAAAAGCCCAGGACCAGATAGCTTCACTGGTGAAGTCTACCAAATATTTAAAGAATTCATACCAAATTCTTCTCAAAATCTTCCAAAAAATTGAAAAGAAGAGAACACTTCTTAACTCTTTCTATAAGGCCAGCATTACCCTGATACACAAATCAGACAAAGACATGGCAGAACATGTAAAGAGCTCATAACTCAACAAAAAACAAATAATCCAATTCAAAAATGGGTAAAGAATCTGAATAGACATTTGTCTCCAAAAGACAAAAATGACATTAAACACATAAAAAGATTGCTCAGCATCATTATTCACAGAGGGAATGCAAAGTCAAAACTGCAATGAGATACCACTTCATACCCACTAACATGGCTATTATTTAAAAAACGAAAAAATGGGAAATGTCCAGTGTTGGTGAGGATGTAGAGAAATTATAACACTTGTGCACTGTTGGTGGGAATGTAAAATGGTGCAGCTGCTGTGAAAAACAATATGGCAGTTCCTAAAAAGATTAAACAGAATTATCATATGACCTGGCAATTCTACTTCTAGGATACATACCCAAAAGAATTTAAAAAAGGAACTCAACAGATATTTGTACACCAGTGTTCATAATGGCATTATTTACAATAGCCAAAAGGTGAAAATGACTTAAATGTCTATCAACAGGTGAATGGATAAACAAAATGTGGTATACACACACACCATACAGTATTAGCCATAAAAGGGATGAAATTCTGATACATGCTACAACGTGGATGAACCTTGAAAACATTATGCTCAGTGAAATAAGCCAAACACAAAAGAACAAATATGCATGAATCCACTTATATGAAGTATCTAAAATAGGCAAATTCATAGACAGAAAGTAGAATAAAGACACATAGAAATAGACAGAAAGTAGGTACTGGAGTGAGGGAGAAATGGGGAGTTATTGCTTAATAGGTACAGTTTCTGTTTGGGATGATGAAAAAGTTCTGGAAATAATAGGGATGGTTACACAACACTGTGAATGTACTTAGCACCACTGAATTGTACACTTAAAAATAATTACAACAGTAAATTTTATGTTATGTTTATTTTACCACACATTTTTTTTAAAAAAGAAACATTTTTGTGTCCTAAAAGTAAAGCTTAAGAAGGCTCAGTCACCAAGCCAGTATTGGTAGCAAACGGAAATGGTGTCAAAAGAATTGAAGGGTTAACTTTCACTACTGGCTGACAGAACTAAACCAGTTAAAGAGGAACAACTACAGGAAATCATATCAAAACTTGTTAGGTAATTATGTAGTCTAATGATAAAAAGGTTTTGTAATTTAGTGACATGAACTGCACAAAAATAAGCAAGGAATGAAACAGACCTACTTTTGAAGGGCCTGGGTATCACATCCAGGGATCAGATTGCTCAGGGTTCTAGGAGGTGATGAAGAAAGCTTTGCAGTGAACCTTTGATAAGGTTCTTCAAGTTAAAAAAAAAAAAGATGGCTTTCACTGGCAGAGCCCAGGTGAATGACCCTAAGTGGTGATGGTGGTGGTGGTCATGAGGGAAAAACAAAGCAAATGGGTGTATTCTGGGCACAGGTATGTTTGGTGTAGTGCTTAAAATGGTGTGTGACAGTTGTTTGAAGGGAAAAGTTGATGATCCCAGGAGGCCCACAGAGCTAAAATAATTTAAAAACATTTAAAACCAACAGAAAATTAACACACAGAAATGCAATTCCCTGACAGAGGAATAAGGGAGAAGGAAATCAGTACAGCATAGGGACATTGCCTAGAACATAATAAATTAGATATAAATTATACTAGTTACTACCAATGCTACTATTGGCTTTGTACCACACCAAAACAACAGGCATTTCTAGCTAATCTAATCAAGGCTAGGCCTCTTGTTGGTACTTAAACTTCAATTAACTACTCAAGAAGTCAAGTCAACACCTAATAGATTTCCAAAGAGACTTAGATGATGTCTTTCAAACCCACTTGCTACAATTTCTTGGTTCTAGGGAGTCCAAAGATTGAAATATAAAAAGTTTGAAGAATCACAATATAAGACCCAGATAGTGGGTCTCTGAGAGCACAGAAAGTCTCTAATTAAAGTTATGCCCCATTATGAGGACAGAGTAGAGGCTGATGATCAAGATGATTCTTACTATTATTAGATTTCCTGAGTGCCAGATAAGTATAAAAATTATACATATTTCTCTACTCTTATCAATTCTGCAAGTTATACATTTTCCAGAAGATAAACTCAGGGTCAGAGAAGTTAAAGCATTCGTTCATGGTCACATAACCAGTAATGGTACAGTCAAAATATCATTTGACTCTGAAGCCCATATACTTTCTAATCCGCCCCTTCTATTACTGGAGTTGAGGGGAAACAGCAATGCTATATTGACTCAAGGGTATTTCAGAGCTTTTAGGCCAAGGCAGTTAACAAGCTCCTGAAATGTTAACAACTTAAAACATTTCAGAGTGAAATCAAGTCTGTGGAACAGCAGCAAGCACAGAATGAAGACATGGCAGAAATTAGCCATAAATCTGT